AACTCAGGAGGCTGAGACAGGAGAATTGTGTTTGAGGCCAGCCTGGGCAGCTTAGAAAGGTTGTGCCTCAAGATAAAAAATGAAAGGGACTGGGCATGGAGCTCAGTGGTAGAGCACTCACCTAGAGATCCTGGGTTCCATCCCCTGTACTGAGACAGGCAGGAAGGAAGGAAAGAAAGATAGACCTGAGTGAACACCAGGAGTGAATGGGGGGCTCTTAGGAACACAAGATGGCTCTGGTTAGCAGGCAGTTGTGGTCCAGGACGCCCACTTCCCAGCACCCTGTCAGCCTGTTGTGTTGGAATGGTGTCATTTTGATGGAAAACTTTCACCATTAGCTTCACCTGTAAGTACACAGGAGTTCACGGCTGATAGACATCCTCAGCAAGGACAAAACAGTGTTGGTTTTCTTGAGTTGTCTGGAACTGATGGTAGTAGTTTGGAGTGTGTATGGTTGTAGGAAAGTGTTTAAAACTCTTTAAAACCAGGAAACAATCATGGGAACTATAAAAGGACCACTGGCCAGAGGCCTAGGGATAGGTATGCTCATCCTGCTTTCTTGCTTATTTATTTATTTTTTGTACCAAAGATTGAACCCAGGGGTGCTCTACCACTGGATGTCAAAAGTTCTGTCCTTGTCCCTGATAACAATCCAGTAACAAGGACACAGTTTTGAGAAAACCGAAAAAGAATGTTTATTACTTTGCTCACAAAGGAGGAACCCAGGGGACCTGTCCTAAAGGCTGTGATTCTGCCAATCAGCAGAAACAGGTTGTTTTTAAAGAGGTTTTTCAGAGATAATGAGATTAGACAGAAACCAGGGAGGAGAAGGTTAGGGAGGAGATTTGGGAAAAAAAATATATAAGTTTCAAAGCCACAAGGGATATAGTCAAAGCATCAAGGCAACCCCTGTTCTGCACAGAACCACATCTCCAAACCCCACATTTTGGAGGAACTAGGGATTGGATGCAGGGTTGTTGGACCACTGAGCCACATCCCCAGCCCTTTTCATGTTTTAATTTCAGACAGTGTCTCACTAACTTGCCCAAGCTGTCCTTGAACTTGCAATCCACCTGCTTAGCTCCTGAGTTGGTGGAATTAGGGTGTGTGCCACTGTGTCCACTACAATCCACATTTTCTAAGCCCCCACAAATTTTGTTCAGTAAAAGAACAAAGTACCACTCATCAGTTTTTCTTTTCTTTTCTTTTTTTTTTTTTTTTGGTACCAGGTGATGAACCCAGGGACAGTGAACTGCTGAGCCACATTTCCAGCCTTTTTTTCCCTTTCTTTCTGTTCATTCAATAAATACAACCTAAAGGAAAAAAATAGTTTAATTATAGAGTGTGATAGGCAATTAGGCCTCTCCTATTATTCAGTCCCCTGATTTCTGAAGCTTATTGCTTTGAGGTAAGATGAAACATTGGACTGATCCATTGAAAAATTAATAGAGACACAATTGCCTGCATTACTGAAACCTAGGCATCGAATGAAATTTAACAGCTTTATTCTTACTAACTTATTTCTCAGAAATGTCCTTAGTGGCCCCAGGGGTGTAGGTCTCTCTATGCAAACACCAAGCAGATGGCAGAGCTGTGATGCTTCTAATTCTCGAGGCTGCTCTTCCTGGTTCTTTGTCATCTTCTGTAACTGATGTCTCTGTTTGCTTCTGCTCTGCTCACACTTCTGTGCTACTGTGTCTCTCGTATGGGCTCTGAGGCTGTAGGGTCTGAATCCTTGGACTCAATCAGCCTTGCATTGAACATGGTTGAAAATAAGTGCATCTGGGCTGAATGTGTAGAGACTTTTTCTTGTCATTATTCTCTAAGCAGCACATTGTAAACCGCTATGTAATTTGCCCATTGTATGCAGTGACATAAGGAAGGCTGAGGTGACTTAAAGCACACAGGAGCATGTGCATAGGTTAGGTCCATAGCAGGAGGAACCCCTGGGCAGTTACAAAGCATGGGGATTCTTCAGCGTGCTCCCCAACAACCAATGGGTCATTGAGGAAATCAAAAAGAAAGTGTAAAATGCCTGCAGACAAATGAACAGGGCCACACAAGATATTCAAACCTGTGGACACAACAAAAGTAATTCTAAGTGGGAAGTTTCCAGCAAGAAATACCTACATTAGAAAAAAATCTCAAATAAATGGCCCAGTACTGCATGTCAAGGGACTGGAAAATATAAGCATGGACTATGCCCCCAATTAGTAAAATTGGGAGAAGATACGAGTTAATTAACTTTACAAGTAGCTGAATTCCAGACATGTGCCACTTGAACCAGATTTTCCTACTTGTTATTGTCTTGGGGACCAGGCATTGCAGCCAAGGGTGCTTCGACACTGAGCCACACCCTCAGAAGGCATTTTGAGACAGGGTCTCACAAACTTGCTTACAACCTTACTAAATTGATGAGGCTGGCTTTGAACTCACCATCCTCCTGCCTCAGCCTCCTGGGCTGCTGGGAATACAGCTGAGTACCACCAAGCCGGCTTTTGCAGTTGTTTTTGGAAAAGAATCTTTGAGGACATCAATTTGACCCACCTGTCCAGACCAACTAAAGAATGCATTCCATTGTTTTCATGTGGGTTCTGCTTCTTTCTTTTTGAATATTTCTACCAGGTGGATAGCTCTATTCCAATTAAACCTTCCCAATATGGTCACATCATTTTTGGATTTATTTATTTGTTTATTTATTTCTGTGATGCCTTGGATGGAACCCAGGCCCTTCCACATGCTAGTAAGTGCTCTGCCACGGAGCAATGTTGCCAGATCCCTGAATTAGCTTTGATGAAGTTCACTCATTTCTCTAGAAAAGCATGGGTTCTGGGTTCCTAGACTGTACAGGTGAAATTGGCCAGTGTTCCAGAAGGGGTTCTACACTGTTTTGATGCAGATGCACAAAGGACTCTGCATCTTTCAGTAGCCACTCCAAGTGTTATAGTTAAAGCATCATCCTGGGGTTTCATAGATTGACTTCTAGACCACTCACATGTAATTGAATCAAGCCTTTATTGAAGCACACAGATGGCGACTGACCACAACATAAAGCTATTCCCCTGATCAGCCCCTAACAATTGCAAGGTTGCTCTTTATAAGCCTGAAAACCACAAAAGGGGTGTTTGGGGGTCCAGCCAATGCAAGCAAGCCAAGTTATAGAAGCGGGAAAGTGCAGTCTGGTGGAGGGATGCTCAGCCAATCACAATTAGCCCAGTCACCTCAGTTACAGAAACAGAGTCCCGTTTTCCTAGTTACAGAAACAATGTCCCATTAGGTAGTTCTGTGTTCTTAAAGGTTTCTATAGCCAAAGGAAAAGAACATCTTGCCTTGGTCACGAGTCTTCTACTTGGCATGGTTGTTTTACAAGATGGAGTCACAAAACAATATGGAGTCATTTTGGCTGGACTATCACACAAGGAGTGGAACCCAGTCCCATCTGCCTGACCCGACCACGCTTAAACACCCGGTCCTGTTTGTCATGATGTCCTACATTTGTGTGTGTCTCACAGCACAAATAAACCTAGAGTCAAAAATGATCAGCTCAAAGAGAGGTGAGTACTTTATCCCCAGGGCTCTGGGAAGACTAAGAGCCCTCACAGTCCTTCCAGTGTTCAAGGGATCTGGAGACACCAGAATATCTTCAAGTCCCTTTTTAGTCATGATAATTCTTAAAAGAATAAATGATGACAGATCTCATTTTGCAGATCTTTGGCTTTATTTGAACCTAGAGTCCAGCAGCAGTGCAGAACAAATGCCTCTCAGAACCTTCCTCCCGCCATGTGTGCAAGTTAGATTTAGAGCCACAGAAAAGGAACTTCCATGAATAGGGGGCGAGGCACAAAGTTCGCTGTTTGGGGGACAGATGAGCTGGTGTGCATGGCCCAGACTCTGCTACCAGTTCCAAGAGTGAGCTGCAGTCTGCTTACACATCCAAGTGGGTTCCAGTTCACTATGTGTGGAGAGTTATTCAAGCCATAATTAAAATGCGTTCACAGGCAGCTTTAGAACACCTCAAATGAAGACTGGGGGGACCTCGTTCTCATCCTTGGATGGGAAGCTAAGGCTAAGGTCTCTGCACAACCCCATCAGCCCAGTCCTCAGTGGAGGGAAGTGTTAGGGAAGGTCTGTCAGTTATGTGCAACCCCCTCCCCACCAGAGCTTGTAATTTATTCAGTTTAATTTTTAAATATTTGCAAGTGTTATCTACCTATATGATTCTACTATTTTGCTGAAAGAGAATTTGGATACCTTCAATGGGCACCAATAGTTTGAGGACAGACTACCTAGGTGAATGACAGGCAACGTTTGGTGAGGCCCAGAGGCTCTGATCAAAGTACAGCATGGACACCTCCTGCAGGCACTGGGAGCTGAACACTGGGGCCTGTCATATGCACAGATGCCCTTGCCCAGTGCATCCAGAGACAGGGACCTGAGGTTTCTGGGTCTACATGGAGACCCACGAGGAAGGGGCAGTGTTGAATGTCTGGGTGGCACTGAGGTCCCCTGAGAAGAGGTTTTCTTGCCTTGGCTCATGTTCAGTGCCTACATAGAATGTTCCAGGCCACCTGTATGCACCCACATGTGTTAAGCCACAGAGTAGCCACACATCATGACCAGATTTCAGTTTGATCCCTTGACTTCCTGAGGCTGAAACTCATTGTTCACCAAGTACCCAGGGCTGTCTTTCTCCATCAGCACCTGGAGAATCCCAAGGTTTCATTAGAAAGCCAGATAAATCCATCACAGAGGATGTTAGAAGAGGAACCCTGAGTTTCTCTTCATTTCTGACTATTTACAGACCAGCCATGAAACACAATAGCTTCTTCCTGTGCCCATCAAGCCTGAATCCCATTCTAGAGATCCAGGTCCCTATGTATGTCTCTATGAAGACACATGTCCTGAAGGTCCTGTCCTCAGGGGGCTTCCCTCCGATGCAGCCTCCTGCTGCACTTTCCTTTCCCATCCACACCTCAGGGAGTGTCTGAAATGGTGGGCTCTGTGTTCCCTCTAAGGTGAACCTACATCCTGGTTATACCTCCAATTGCCTAGAAGTACGCTTTTAAAACACAACCAACTAGGCAGCTGTTGGACACGAGCAGTGAAGGAGGCTCTGGTTGTAGAGGAACATGCTACCACATTGAGGACATGGGACAGTACAGAACACAAGGACCTTTGGCTGCCTAAAGTCCCTCACTATTGCTGTGAGCTCAGCACAGAGTTGGGAACATCTCCCTGGGTGGATGGCACCCTGGGCATCATAGCTCTCCAGAGGGGCAGGGTACAGCTCTATGCTCAACTGGCTCAGCCTGGCAGTGTGAGGCAGCAGGTCCCTCCGGGCTGACATGGAGATGCGGTTTCCATGGAAGCTCAAAACCCTGAGCTGGGAGCAGTAGCTCAGGGCAGGCAGCAGGGCCTGGAGCTGGAAGTCAGTGATCCTGCAAGTTTCCAAGTCCAGGCTCTTCAGGGTGGCTGCAACAGTCTCCAGCAGAATTTGGAGGGGCTCTGGACTAAAATTGGTCAGTTTGATGCCCCTCAGTTCCAGGTGTCTGAGCTTTCTGGTGTTTGGAAATCAGGAAAGATAATTCCAGTTGGAATCTGACAGCCGGCAGTTGGTTATTGAGAGAGTCTTTAGGGGGGTCTTCAGGTGCATAAGGAGAAACCAGACAGTTAGTTCTGAGGAGCAATATCAAAAGGCAATTCTGCCTTTTGCAGAATCTGGTCATTCACATCACCCCCATGTCAGGGCGAGGTTCACCATCACTCCTGTGACCAGATGGGTCCACATCTCTATGGCTCCCCTCCTCACTGCAAAGCAGAAGAGCACAGCTCTCTCCACAGAAGGTCAGGGGGAGTCATCTACAAAGGATAAACTCAGGCAAGATGAAGGAAACCCACTGGAATTGTCCACCTTCCAGGCTCACAACCTGTACCCTCCATCCCTGCTCCTCACCCTCAACACCAGAATCACCATCTGAGGCTCAGAGAAGCCTTCCCCAGAGGGGCATTAGAAGCAGCTCCTCTGCTCCCCTCTGGAGAGCGCAGAGCTTCCCTGTTGCAAGGTGCAGGTGAGGGGGCTTCCCTCCTTCAGCGCCCTCTCCTCTACCCCGTCTCCCACCACCTTCGCTGAATAGGCCTCCCAGAAAAGGAACCTCACCTACCTCACTAGCTCCTGTCCCCTATCCACCTGTGGCAGGCACAAGTAGGTGCCCTTTTATATTTACTGATACTGGCCTGCAGAGGATGCTCTCCCCCCCTTACTCACCTCCGCACCTGCTCCAGATGGCCCTCGTGGAGGAGGACAGCATCCACACAGAACTTCCGCAGGAAGTCCATCCTGAGGAACTGTGAGGTGAGCTTGGGCGAGCAGCCGCTCCTGCTCCTCTGGGGAGGTGTAGGCAGGCACATAGACCTGGGAGACAAGCAGCTTCCTCAGATTCCTCATCTGGCCCAAGAAAGGAGCACAAGCAGCCAAGATGGAGGGCACCCAGGCGCAGTGCACTTCCACCTTCTGGACAGAGTCCAGCTGCAGCAGTCTCAAGACCTTCCTGGTGTGGCCGGTGGGTTTTCCAAAGATCTTCAGCCTATTGCAACACAGGTGCAACACAGCCTGTCCCTTCTCTGTGTGACCCATAGGAACAAGTGGGTCAGAAATTCATCCAGGGGCCTTTCTG